TATTATGTAGATTATACACAGTGGAATTAGCGAAAAACTGATCACTCTAAACGTTGTATAAGCGATGCGCGTATGTATGTGGCTTTTATCCTGCGTATACCTCTGTGTGTGTGTGTGTGTGTGTGTGTGTTGCGGCGCATTCTTAATATCGTTACAACAGAATACAACAACGGTGGAACGAGCGTTACAATCCATAGATTTTCTATTTCTCACGAGTAGAATACGATACAGATACGGATTAAACGCATCGGTCAATTTCATCGACACTTTCATCTCGTCTGTCGATGATACTATTTTAGACACGTACGTACAGGTGCGAGCGTTGGCGGGCGAACGATTCGCCAACCACGCTTGCGCTTATCTTTCCCAGACAACCACTACCAGAGTACTCGTATCCGTTCCATCGTTTATAAACCCGTGCCAATGCAAACGGGGAATGCAAACGAACTCTAATAAATTCTAATAATTCTGTTTGCTCGACAACGAACGTCGTTTCGTTGTTTAAATCGCGATCATCGATTGGATAAGGCCGTTCATCAATCATGTAGGGCAGCTTACGAGCTTGACAATCTTAGAACATTGTAAGAAGTCTTTCTTAGACTTGTAAATGTACATATATGGACATTGCGTATGCAAACAAGTACGTAAACTGAAAGTGAAATTGTATGAATCGACGACAAAGCGATATTTATTTTAAATCCGTAACAATCGTGATACTATTATTTATTGAATACGCGGATACCTGGAATTGGAACTAGCGTGTAATATCTACGAATACATGGTATCAAATTTGTAAATAAATCTTATATATTGCTAAATTAAAAAGCTAGCTCGATACGTTAACGAGGTTATGTGATCTCAACCTTTCTCCGCATACGCTCGTTCGAAGCAATAATCGTCTTTCCTTTGAAAAGAAATCTGTAGATGGCGAAGTAGACGGTGATGCAGTGCGCATGCGCTACTACAGACATACACACACATATATATACGCACTTGCATCCTCCCGTTTTGAAAAGTTGCACGTCCGTTGAAAGCAAGTACGTTTCAATTTGATCTTTCAATCTTTCAGTAGAGGGCAATATGAACGTAATAAGAACTGAAACAGCTTTAAAATCACAGAGGACGAAACAACATGGGACACAATTCCGGCAACAGTTTAATGTGCCGTTGACGAAACGTCGTATGTAGCGATCTCGTTGCGAATATAACCAATCATTTTTACCACCAACGATTCTTTTATCGATCGACTCACATAAATTCGGGAAAGCCTCATTTCCTTTTCCTCTTTTACTTTTCCTGATACGCGTTATATACACACACACACACACACACACA